GATGCATTGCGAATCAATCAGTAGTAACTATTTCACTCTCTATACTCTTTACTAGTATAATGACAGTAATCACTGCAATAAATACTGTATATATTATATAAATAATACTAATCATTAAATATATATTATTTCCCTACTAGATAAGCTGTAATAACCACTACAGACGTCAAAGTTGAATAGTAATAAACAAAGTAAAAATTAGTCTTATTTAGTTCAACAGCAAAATAATATAGTACGTATTAGTAAAGCAGAAATAAACATTGCATCATATATGGTCTCTATTAGTCACTTATAGTCTTTATTAGTTAAGTTGTAATAATCAGTCAGTTAAGTGTCAAACATGATACACGCTTGGGCGATCATGTATCTTTACATACATGACTGACGGGGCAGATTTTTTCCCGCAGTAGGTCGCCATTTCTTTCTGTGGTAGACTGGTTGCTAACCAAGGCTGTCCTGCTATTCAACCCATAGCTGGGGGATATAAGATAGATTCATACCATTCCAAAGGGTATTTGTGCGTAAGTGAATCCAACGAATTCAACTGGAATGTGACACCATTTAGGGGTACGAAAAGAAAAAAGGAAAAAAAGAAAGGAAAAAGAGAAAGGAAAGAAAGGAAAAGAGAGGCGAGACTTAAGCTTAGATGATAAAAGAAGCCACCCACAACAATGTTATTTTGATAAGTAGCAAATGGTGAAAGGTTTCATTACCATTGCAGAAAACTTCTAAATGGATAAGAAAATCGACTGTGTTCTGGTGGCGGACTTGTGTTATCGGGGATAGATAACAGCCACTTAATGCTGGCGAACATCTAATTAACAATCCACAGGCCGGCTAGCTAAAACTCCGAGACAATTCGACAATGTTATTTTGATAATGGAAAAGATGGTGAAAATTCTGACCACCAGTGTCGTAGAACTGTCTGACAAAGAACAGGTGAATACAGAGCTTTGGATAGATAAGAAAAATTAACTGTGTCAGAGGGGGCAAACAATATTGTCGGGAAAGGATTTAATAGGTCGTCTGCTAACCGCACACGAAGCCAACCCTGGGTCACGTCTTGGCCGTTTTGACAAGACATCTATGGGTGTTAGAATTCGGTTGTGATAATAAGACTATGTTATCAGAAATTGGCACCAATAATGCAAATACGGCTAGAACAATGGAACTGTTTTTTTCGAGACGACGGTCGACTGTGTTTCGCTAGACGACTACCCCACTTGATAATTGGCATTGATAGATCCCAGGTGACATTGGGGGATGAGAGCTGCGATTAAGGAAAAGAAAAGGAAAAGAAAAAGATAATTTTGGGGGGGCAAGATACATCGACCTACCACTAATCATGAGGAACGGGAGTCATCTCGGGGAATCACCGTGTCTTGAATGACTGTTAGGTCTCAAACTCACACACGATCTCAAGTGGAACTTGTACATAAAATCCATTGCTAAGGATGCACGAAAAATGGTCGGCTCTCTGTACCGCTCCAGGAATTACCTGACCCCTCCTGCTATCCTCTACCTTTACAAGAGTCAGACCAGACAAAAATGGAGTACTGTTGTAATATTTGGGCGGGAGCTGCCTAAACCTCACTCTATAGGATTAATATAGTTCAGAAACGTCTCCGAGCCCTTGTGGGTGACGAATTAGTTTCCACCTTTCAACCTTTCTCCCACAGGCCGGATCTGCCAAGCCTCTCACTGCTCTACCGCTACTTCCACGGAAAGTGCTCAGACGAATTACATTTCCTGGGAACGCCGAGGCAAACCTTCTCAGTAAGAATTCGCCATGACACTTACATTGTAGCAAACCACTCACATTCTCTTCGTATTCCATTGGTGAGAAGTAACTTCTTCCCGCAAACCACTGCCTTGTGGAACCTACTCCCAAATGGGTGTTTCCCCAATCACTACAATCTTAACCTGTTCAAAGTTAGGGTTAACTGTTATCTTCCAATTTTATACACACTAATGGCCTCCTTCACTATAAAAAAATGAATACAGTCGTACTAATGATTTCAACCATTATAGTCATTCTATGTTAAAGGTAGCAACGGAATGTGTGAAGTAGGGACTAAGCATAAACTAGAAGAAAACAGAATGCATGGTCATCAGTAACAGGAAGAGCTCGAAATGCGATTTGCAGATCGGGAACTTTAGCAGACGCGGAAGTTTAAATATTTGGGAAGCGTTCTTACAGAGGACGGTAAATGCGACACTGAGATCCGTAGACGTATTGGGATGGCCAAGGACACATTCCAAAAGCAGGGCAGAGTATTGCGAGACAGGAGGATTTCTTTACGGCAGCGAATGTTGAACGATTTTCTCAAAGATTAAGAAGAGACTCGAGGCGACGATGTGGTTCTACAGAAAGATGCTAAGCGTGTGAGCAACGATGAGATCTTAGAGAGGATGCAAACAAGGAGGGGGCTTATACTTAGCATCAGGAATACTCATGGGTTGAATAGAGGGGAAGAGAGACAAGGGAAAACAACGCATGACGTACCTAGTGGTAAGTGGATGACAGAAAGTGTTCTGTGGGAAGTGGCAGAGGGAAGGAACTTGTTTAGAGCTGCAAGGGATAGAGGGAGGTGGAGAGACATGATCGTCTACCTCCTGAAAGGACACGGCACATAGAAAGAAAGAAAAGATCCACTGCAATCGTTATAATCTTTGGTAGTTATGTAGTTCTTACTATTGTATTCCTGGTTGTCCCACTGAGTTAAGAATTAGTACTAAAGATTACAATCTTTATATTCGGTATAATAATGATGTATTTGCTAGTCTTCATTATGAATCTTTTCCTCTTGTTGATGGATTAATCTCATCAGCAAAAGTTGTCGTTATTCATCGTTAAAATCAATAAACAAAAATATTGACGAATTGACGAGTCCGTCTCATTTCTGATTTGTAATTCTCTTGTTAATTAATTTTCAGAATAAACCATTTTATCCATGTTGCTTTCTCAGCCGCCTTTCTTTCCGCATTTACCTTCGTTGTTTTCTTCGCCTCGATTTGTCTGGTTTGTGATTTTATACTTTAGTTCAATAATTTTAAGGAAACCCGTAGCAAAGGTTACTGGGCGCACATCAGGAAAGTTAATTCGAAAATTGGATTGTTAATAACATTGTCTTCTTATTTTTTCCTGCTCATTTGATTTTGCGTATTATTATTATTATTATTATTATTATTATTATTATTACTATTCTCTTCATATCAGTGTTGGCTGCCGTTTACCGCTGAGATTCAAGTGTCAACAGTTCTCAGTCATTCTTCTCATCATCCATACTTGACTTTCATGATTCGAATCATTTCAATTGTTCTTTGAATTTTGAATCCTTGCTGTCATTTTTTTTTTTCAATCTTTCAGATTCTTCTCCGTACACAAGTACTTACGGACACTTCCCTAAAATCTTTCTTCCCAAGAAGAAATGATATTTTCATTTAGGATCCTTTTTATTTATTTCTATTTGTTGTAGAAACGTCTGCAACATAACAGAATATTTTCTTTTTTCAGAAAAAAGGAAAAAACAAATGTGACATGGAAGTGCTATCTGTTTGAACGTTGATATTTCAGGGTACAGCAAACGCCCGATTTAAGGTCCACTGTTATAACATATTTAGAAATTAACGGATATTATCACAAAGCTGAATTTTGAAATGTGAATTACATTTCCTTGATAATGTAAATTACATTTTCTTTTGAAAATGACCAATATTCTTAGTTATCTGTCTATATCTCTGAGATGAGGTATTATGGTTACTTACATATGGTTACTTATATTATTTACATTATTCTTACTGTTATCCTCATCGTCATTGCCATATTCACAACGTTTCCGCCGTTGTACGCTCCGGCCTTCTTCAGGTGATTGAAATTTCGAACTGAACCCTTTATTTCATCCGCCAGGGTAGATTGTTCTAGTTCCACGTGTCATGCCTCTTCCGGATCTCTCAGTTATTTCCCTTTAACTCAACTCTCCATGTTTTGGTTCTTAATTATGCCTTTAAAATATCTTATTCATGGGTCTTAAGATAGAGTTAAAATAATAATTTTCGTCACTGCCCCAAAAGGTTAAAACCACTGAACTACACTGTGAAAAAAAGAAAAATAATAATAATAGATTTTATCAATGTTTTAATTTTTTTTATTAGTTATCAGACCGGTCCAGTTTTTAAAAGCTGCTTCTAGTGTAGTGTATATTGCATTAAAGCATTTTTTTTTTTTAAATTATAAAATTAAAACAATGGTAAAAAGAAAATTGAATTCGATATTATATTCGGATTTAACGAATTTGACAGTATTAACGAACGCCACTTGTTCGCGTTCTTTTAATCCATTAAATCGAAGTTTCATCATATCTTAATCTTTATTTTATTTTTATTTTCAACAGCTTTTGGATTATGCTCCCAATTTGTTGATGTAATGGAATCGAATTTATTTTCACAATTCCCAATGAATTACTTTCCTCCATGAAGTCGTGTCATATATTCACATTATATTATTTAAGCTCATTGTATTTTTACATCAGTAATGACTGGTGAATTTCACTGAAGGTTAAGTGATAGTAAATCTCCTCAATAATTCCGAGATCAAGGAATCCAATAATGATGACTTCATCTCTTATCCCGACATTCTTCATTTTTTCTTTCTTTTTCTTATTTTATATTGCAAACCTCTCGCAAGGATTCGACATTTATCCAGTTTAATCATTGCGTTCTTTCAGTTTTATTGTGTTCTTGTGGAAAGAAGAAATTCTATACTTGACGATGATTAGCTCTGATCCCAAGGCCTGGATTACTTAACCCATTAAATTTCAAATTCCCAAATATGTTTTTACTTTCCTAACACGAATTGTGTATATTATTATTCTTTTACCTGAGACCTGAGGTAAACGAAAGTTTTTATTAGAAGTTTATTTAGCAAATTATACAGAAAGAGTTTTTTTTTCGTTTTTTTTTCGTTTTTTTTAAATATGAACAGTACTCATGAGTACAGCTTATGGCCATATCACGTTGAGACATTGTTTCCCGTTTGATCACCGAAGTTAAGCAACGTCAAGTCTAGTCAGTACCTAAATCGGTAACCACTTGAAAATACCAGGTGCTGTAAGCTTGGATGTGAGGGTGGTGTAATAATAATAATAATAATAATAATAATAATAATAATAATAATGACTCAGAATTGTTAATCGGAGAGCCGGGTTCTAATTCCAGTTGGGTTTGTTATATTCACTTCTGTGCATATACTCTTGGGAAAGGTATGAAGCCACCGCTTCTCCCTCCAGCTATGGGTTAATTAGTAAGATTTGAAACACTAAATCATTATTATCGCACAAACAATTCTTATAATCTAAAATATTTTCCGGTATTAAATAACCGGCAAAGGGTTGATAAGCTGTAAAACCGAATCATGCTTACAATCTTTTGTATCTGACATTTTCTCGAATGTTCTTAGTGAGTATTATTGTTCGTGTACCTTGTATTATTGGAACAGTGATTGGTTTTTAAATGGCAGATCCTTATATTTTGAAAGTTCGTCAAATTTTATGCATATGTTTCTCTCAGACGGGATGGTCATGTCTATGCAAAAGTATTTGTGCTTTCTGAAGCTTTTTATTATTAGATCTGGTTTATTAGCTTGTCTCGTGCTGTTGTTATGTATGGTGAAACGCCGGGGCACTATAACATTTTCACTTTCAAGCACTGATGGTGCTTTGTATTCGTATTATTTTTCTGTCCACGGATGATTATAATGTTGGCATGTAGACATAACATACTCTATTATGTCTATATTTAAATTCATTTGGGGTGACAGTAAAGCACCCAGATATTAGATGGTTGATGGTTACCTCAGCGCTTGTATAACAGTGACATTTTGGATTTGTCCCATTTTTCTTGGTGGTGAGGTTTTATTTTCATATGTATTCGTTCTGGTCTATAATGCGCAGGGATTTCTTCCTCTTTAGAGATTTCCTCTGAGTAAACATGTCCATTAGCGTCTACCTGTGCTAATTTCTACCCACATTCTAAATTCTTTGTTTAAGGTTTTATTTTCCCATTAATCTCTCCTTATAATGTTCCTTAATCTTTTCAGATTTGTCATATTTATCTCTTTCATGTTTCGAACAATTTGACATATTTTGTTTTACGTTTTTTTATGCTCTTTATTGTTACCCACTGAATGTTTCTGCTAGTGGCCTTTACTATAGATTAAATGTCAGTCTGTCGCTTCAATATTCTTTTTCTCTTCTCAATATCCAA